CTCCCAGATCCTTGAGTGACACACACACACACACACACACACACACACACACACACACACACACACACACACACACACACACACACACACACACACACACACACACACACACACACACACAAAGCACATTGTTCCAAAACTTCCTATGCCAAAGATTCCAATCTTCACCTGTAGCTAATTGCTTTTCAGAGAAAATGGGGCAGTACTAGGCAAGTTCCTTCTTAGGGAGCCTACGTCTCCTCCCTTTCCGGTTGGCTCATGGGTCCCAGAAGAACCAAAAAATGAATGCAAGTCAACGGGGTTAAGAGTTATTTTCTAATCCACTTTGCTTCACACCCTGGATTGCACATAAGTTGTAATTCAATTAAATGAAAAGTAATGATGTGCTGTTCGATCAGGCCTGTCATGTACTTTGGGATTTATCAGCTTGTAAAACCCATGGTCCGAAGAAGAAGGGCATGACTTAGCCTCCCTATACTGACGCCCCACCCTCCCAGGCCTATGACTGGCTCAGATCCTGAGTGTCTTGCTCAATAAGGAGCTTGCTTTAGCTAAAACGTGGATAAGATGATGCAGCACTCACGACAAGTTGACCCCATCATTTATCAAATAAAAACACAAAGCACACAATTAATTTGTTGAATAAAGGATGATTTCACATTTTAATTGATGTGTCTGCACATTTGGTAAGCTGCTTAGTGTGCTTTTTTTTTTAGGTGTAGTGTACACGTTCAATAAATGGGCAAAAGTTGGAAAGTGTATTTTATTAAATGTGGTTTCTTCCTGAGCTGCCTACACTCTGCTCAGATGTTTTGATTTATTCCTGGGTGATGATATTAATGGTCCACGCCGTCGCCGTAGCGCGGTGATTAACATCCTGGCACCTGCGACAGGCTCTAGTCCCCTGCAGCCCCAAACAAATAAAGTAAAACAAGTGTAGAAAGTAAGATCCTTCCTTCCTTTATTAAATGTGGTTTCTTCCTGAGCTGCCTACACTCTGCTCAGATGTTTTGAAGGATCTTTCATGGCGGTTAAAACGAAGAGTCAGAGTACCCGGCCCGGAGGGTTACCGGGGTCCCACCCTGGAGCCAGGCCTGGGGTTGGGGCCCGTGAGCGAGCGTCTGGTGGCCGGGCTTTCGCCCATGGGGCCCGGCCGGGCCCAGCCCGAACCGGATACATGGGCTCGTCCAACTGTGGACCCACCACCCGCAGGAGGAACATGAAGGGTCCGGTGCAATGCGAATCGGGTGGCAGACCAAGGCGGGAGCCTTGGCGGTCCAATCCCCGGACAAGAAAACTAGTTTTTGGGACATGGAACGTCACCTCGCTGGCGGGGATGGAGCCGGAGCTTGTGGCAGAGGTTGAGCGGTACCGGCTAGATATAGTCGGACTCACCTCGACACATTGCATTGGCTCTGGAACCCGAGACCTGGAGAGGGGTTGGACACTCTACTTTGCTGGAGTTGCTCCGGGTGAGAGGCGGAGGGCTGGGGTTGGCTTTTTGTTAGCCCCGAGACTCTCTGCCTGTGTGTTGGGGTTTACCCCGGGGGACAAGAGGGTAGCTTCCTTGCGCCTTCGGGTCGGGGAACGGGTCCTGACTGTTGTTTGTGCTTATGGGCCAAATATCAGTTCAGAGTACCCACCCTTTTTGGAGTCCCTGGGACGAGTGCTAGATAGTGCTCCATCAGGGGACTCCATTGTCCTGCTGGGGGACTTCAATGCTCACGTGGGCAATGACAGCTTGACCTGGAGGGGTGTGATTGGGAGGAACGGCCCACCTAATCTGAACTCGAGCGGTGTTTTGTTATTGGACTTCTGTGCAAGCAGCAGTTTGGACATAACGAACACCATGTTCGAACATAAGGATGCCCACCGGTACACTTGGTACCAGGGCAGCCTAGGTCACAGGTCGATGATAGATTTTGTAGTCGTATCATCTGACCTGCGGCCGTATGTTTTGGACACCCGAGTGAAGAGAGGGGCGGAGCTGTCAACTGATCACCACCTGGTGGTGAGTTGGATCAGATGGCAAGGGAACATGCCGCGTAGACCTGGCAGACCTAAACGCATAGAGAGGGTCTGCTGGGAACGCCTGGCAGAAGAACCTGTCAAGACGGTCTTCAACTCCCACCTCCGGCAGAGCTTTGACCACGTCCCGAGAGCAGTGGGGGACATTGAGTCCGAGTGGGCCTTGTTCCACTCTGCGATTGTCGAGGCGGCTGTTGCTAGCTGTGGTCGTAAGGTGGCCGGTGCCAGTCGTGGTGGCAACCCCCGTACCCGCTGGTGGACACCAGAGGTTCGGGGAGCCGTCAGGCTGAAGAAGGAGGCCTACAGGGCGTGGCTGGTCTGTGGGTCTCCGGAGGCAGCAGACAGGTACCGGATAGCCAAGCGGGGTGCAGCAGTGGCAGTTGCCGAGGCAAAATCTCGGGCGTGGGAGGAGTTTGGTGAGGCCATGGAGAAAGACTATCGATCGGCTCCAAAGAGGTTCTGGCAAACTGTCCGGCGCCTCAGGAGAGGAAGGCAGCAACTCGCTCACACTGTTTACAGTGGGGATGGGGAGCTGCTGACGTCAACTGAGGCTATAGTCGGACGGTGGAAGGAATACTTTGAGGAGCTCCTCAATCCCACCAATGCGCATTCCGAGGAGGAACCAGAGCTGGGAGGCCTGGGGATGGACTGTCCGAACTCGGGGGCAGAAGTTGCTGAGGTAGTCAAACAACTACACAGCGGCGGAGCCCCGGGGGCGGATGAGGTTCGTCCTGGGTATCTCAAGGCTATGGATGTTGTAGGGCTGTCATGGTTGACACGTCTCTACAACATTGCGTGGTCATCGGGGGCAGTTCCTAGGGAGTGGCAGACCGGGGTGGTGGTCCCCATCTTTAAGAAGGGTGACCTGAGGGTGTGTTCCAACTATAGGGGGATTACACTCCTCAGCCTCCCTGGAAAGGTCTACACCAAGGTACTGGAGAGGAGGGTCCGATCGATAGTTGAATCTCAGATAGAGGAGGAGCAATGTGGTTTTCGTCCTGGCCGTGGAACTGTGGACCAGCTCTATACCCTTGCAAGGGTGATGGAGGGGGCATGGGAGTTTGCCCAACCAATCCACATGTGCTTTGTGGATTTGGAGAAGGCTTATGACCGTGTCCCCAGGGGCACCCTGTGGGGGACGCTCCAGGAGTATGGGGTGGGTGGCTTTCTGTTAAGGGCCATTCAGTCCCTTTACCAGAGGAGCGTGAGTTTGGTCCGCATAGCCGGTAGTAAGTCGGACCTGTTCCCAGTGAGGGTTGGACTCCGCCAGGGCTGCCCTTTGTCACCGGTTCTGTTCATCACTTTTATGGACAGAATTTCTAGATGCAGCCGTGGTGTGGAGTGTGTCGAGTTTGGTGGCAGGAGAATCTCGTCTCTGCTTTTTGCGGATGATGTGGTCCTCCTAGCTTCATCCAGCTCTGACCTTCAGCTCTTGCTGGGTAGGTTCGCGGCCGAATGTGAAGCGGCTGGGATGAGGATCAGCACCTCCAAATCTGAGACCATGGTTCTCGACCGGAAAAGGGTGGCTTGCCACCTCCGGGTCGGAAAAGAGGTCCTACCTCAAGTGGAGGAGTTTAAGTATCTTGGGGTCTTGTTCACGAGTGAGGGTAGGAGGGATCGGGAGATCGACAGGCGGATTGGTTCGGCGTCTGCAGTGATGCGGACGCTGAGCCGATCTGTCGTGGGGAAGAGGGAGCTGAGCCAGAAAGCCAGGCTCTCGATTTACCGGTCGATCTACGTCCCAATCCTCACCTATGGTCATGAGCTTTGGGTAATGACCGAAAGAACGAGATCGCGGATACAAGCGGCCGAAATGAGTTTCCTCCGTAGGGTGGCCGGGCTCAGCCTTAGAGATAGGGTGAGGAGCTCGGACATTCGGGAGGGACTCGGAGTAGAACCGCTGCTCTCCGGATCGAAAGGAGCCAGTTGAGGTGGTTTGGGCATCTGGTCAGGATGCCTCCTGGACGCCTCCCCGGGGAGGTGTTTCGGGCATGTCCTGCCGGCAGAAGGCCCCCGGGTCGACCCAGGACACGTTGGAGAGGTTACATCTCCAATCTGGTCCGGGAACGCCTTGGGGTCCTGCCGGAGGAGCTGGTGGACAAGGCCGGGGAGAGGACGGCCTGGAGCTCCCTAATTGGGATGCTGCCCCCGCGACCCAGACCCGGATAAGCGGAGGAAGATGAAGACGAAGACGAAGTGTAGAAAGTAGATGGTGGTTCTATTAAATAAATATGCAGTGGGGAACTTTCTATTTCAGGTCAGCTCTGTGGTTTAGTGGTTAATAGTTTGACTTGCAGCAGAAAAGGTTTAATGTTAGAACTTGACCTGGTAATGTTTTGAGTGATGCATGTGTGCATTTCTCATGCCTGAATGGACTTTCGCCTGAAGCCGCCTTTCCATCTGACGTGAAAGCGCTGCCGCGAAACATGCTTCGGGGTTATTGCCTCACGTTAAAGTGGACGGTTTCCTTTTCACTGGCAGCAAAGTGTAACGTTTTGGATGCTTCTTAGAAGAAAAGAGACGCCATCATTACAAGTCTATTTTTTATGCACTATGCTTACAAAACACGTCAGACTCCACAGTTTAGATCGGACCAGACAGGAAGTCCATTTCAAAGGCAGTGTAAACCATCTGGAAACTTTCAAAATAAAAGTCACGTGTAGTATGCCATTTCCCATGAAACCCCTAACCACAACTAATATCTGAGAAAGTAAAAAAGCCTGCACAAAATGGAAATATTTAAAATGGGGTTAATAATCTATATGGTCCAAATGTTCTTGTTTTCAGTTAAATTAAAATCTACCAATGGGGTAAGGAAACGTTGCTTATCTAGGAATCTTAAAACTAGCAATATGATATTAGATTTATGTGCCTCATTTAAGAATTCAGCTTTTGCTACATTGGCAGATTTTGTTTACTCTAAACAGGAACATTTGGATCACATGTAAGAATATGAATATTATCTCGTTTTAAGACTAAAAATAATATAAAATGTCTAAAAAATAGGCTTTGTACTTTCTTAGAAATATTAGAAAGTTTTTGCAGTGAGAAAATAAACCACGGGCCTTCATTCAGCTGTCTTTCTTCTTGCTTGGTATTGTGTGGACTTTGAAATCCCCCATGGTGTTGCAACTTTCTCGTGATTTTGTGACCTCATGGAATCAGCTGTGTGGAACGCTTTCACTCTCGTTTCATGTCAGAATCTCCCAGCTGGAAGAGAGCTCAAAGGTAAAATGCCACTATTACTTACGCGCCTCTATTGTGTTTCAATTCAATTCAAAGATACTTTATTAATCCCAGAGGGAAATTAGAGAGTGATTGGTAGAAAGGAAGCTTGACTCTTAATGATTCAGTTTCCTCTTACAATCCTAAAACATGCATGTTAGATTTTGGTGATTCTAAAGTAATCTATGCATGTATGACTGTCATGATGGCCTTGTGATAAACTACCGTAATTTCCGGCCTACAAGCTGCTATTTTTTCCCTGTGCTTTGAAGTCTGTGGCCAATATCACGGCTTTAGTGCGCAAGAGGAAAATGAGAGCGAATGAATTTTTCTGGTAGGCAAGTGTGTTTATTTACTAACCAGTCATGTTTTGTGTGCAGTTTTTATTTTCTAGTCATCTGGGGCTTATTAATGCTGTGTCAGCGCTGTTCTTTTCTTCTAAACATGCATGCAAATTACTGGTAATTGCGTGTCAGTGCCATTTTTATTTTATAACCATCCAGAAATATGAATGCGATCAGTGCTGTTTCCTTTTCTAAACTTGCAAGCACGTTCACCACAGCCTGGCCAGCCGGACTCGCTCTGTTTAATTCTGCACAGAGTCTCTGTGCAGTGCAGAATTAAACAGGGCGAGTCTGGCTGGCCAGGCTACGTTCACCCGTTTTTAAAATTTGTTTTGTTGAATTAAAACAACAACGAAAAACTTCCGTGTAGCGTCTTTCTGTCTAATTATCTTATGTCATGGCCATACATGCGCTGTGCGCCGGAGACCTGCATGTAGCTGCTGTGCAGCGGCTTGTATTTGAGTGTGGCGTGTGTGTGTGTAGAAAACCTTTTTCTTTTGCTGGTGCGGCTTATATTGAGGTGCGCTCGATAGTCCGGAAATTATGGTAGTAACCAGGATGGACGCTGGCTTTCAGAAAAATCAATAATAAAAGTAAATTTTTGTTTTAATTGACGGATGCAACTGTAATTTTTTAGTTTATTGAACATGTTTGATAATAAAATGCAAATCATTGCAGAATTACTTGACAGGAAGTCAAAACTGAGTAAAAATAGATTTTATGGTGACAAAAATTGGAACGATGCAAGCTTTCTGTGCTACCACTAACTTGAATTTGATAAGCCAGTTCAATACTTATCGAGAAACATTGAAGAAAAACACAAACATATGGCTGAAGTAAGGAGGAAAGAGAACAACATTTCTATATTTCTTACATTTTTAAAATGGTCTAAGAACAACCGGAATGCAATGTCAGTTTCAGTTTGAGAGGCACGGAAAAGTATCTAAATCACAAATGGTGGAAAGTGATTTGTTGTAGCCTGCAGTGTGCAGGGCAATGATAGTTTAAGAATTGCTGAATTACAGTGTGACAAGAATGGAGTTGGCTTTTAAATAAATAATGGGGTAAATTATAGGAGAGAGCTGATGCCAAAAGGCAAGGCTTAGACACAGAAAAATGGAAAAGAGTAAGAAGAAAGAAGTCTCACTGACTGATCTTTCACCAGGCACCCATGAAAGCAGGCGTTCTCGTTTATTCTCAGCCACTCTGAATTATAGTGTAGATTTAGGTGAGTTCCACCATTATTACTTTGTTTTTGTTTTTTGTGCAAACTGTTCATCTGATCTAGAGAAGTGTTGGTACCAGAACACCAACATGGGCTGACAACTTCAACAAAATTTAAAAAAATTAAAAAAGGAAGAAAAAGAAATCTGCATTAATCCAGAAAATGGGAATTATTATTATTAATGGTGCCTGAAAGTACATCACACAAATTGATGGAAGTGGTTTAGGTTGGAGACAAGTTTATGTGGTCCATTAGTCTAAATCTGTCCCTTATCTGTGTCCAAATGGTCATTTCCTCTAGCATGAAAGTTCTTTCAAAGAGAGGCAATCTTTTTCCACATTCATCAGTCCTGCAATACTTCAGTGGTTACAGCTTTATTGTAAATTCTAAGAAATGCAGATCTATAAAGACCAATTGGGACTGTCTTTCATACTTGTGCACATTCACCAGGCCATGCATATTAGGAAGCATTGTGGCATTATCTTCAGTGTCACAAAAAAGCGAATGTAAGTTATAGTCGAACTTTGTACGTCCTTGTCAGTAAATTTAAGGTTTTATAATTTAACACCCTCTACATTTGAGACAAGGACATTGCCTTTCTCCTGGGAGATCTTCCACCGTGATGAGATCGGTTTATTTATAGGAAGGAGATGAGGATCAAAAAAGAAACACTTCTACAGTAAATATTCTGTCTCACATGAAATAACTCCTTACTGAAAGGTGTTAAGATTACAGGACCTTTACAGGTGGCAGGTACATAATGTATACTCCATGGAGTTGCTAAAAAAGTGAACAATGTCTAAAACAAGCCCATAATTATCAGTTTTAATAAAATAATGTGAGATGAGAATAAAATGATGAAATCTGATGATGTTTTAAAACATAATGTTTAGGTTGAGCAATACAAGTGCCGACATTTTGAACAATTAGGGCAATTTTGAATCGAATGATGTTATTCATGGTTTTCCACAAAACTTTAGGTTATTTTTCAATTCAAGCACTCACACACAATAATTTATTAATGTTGTGCAGCACCTGTACAAACTGTACCTTTTATTCCTCCAACTGCTCCTTCTTGGCATCCAATTTACAAAGCTAGCAACATGAACGACACGCCCATGAAATGATTCAGGCTGGGGCAAATGGCTCATCAGTGTCTAATCACACTGCTCAAAATGAAGATGAACACTGCAGGGGTAAAAGTTACTGAAAGAAAAAAAATGTTTCCTCAAAGTGAGCTGCAGGTCTTAATGGATAAAAAACAAGGTAACTTCCAAAATCCCAAATTTATTTTCAGCTTTATTATGCAAAAAGAACTATTTCTACTCTGGTAGTGTCTTGAACAGTCAATAGGTGAGAACTGTCAACAACTTATCTAATAAAAATATAACAATAAATAAATATCTGGTATATAAGTATACAAATGTATATTTTTAAAGAGCCTGCTGTCCCTGTGTGCTTTGTTCATTAATGCACCCCATTAGATACATTTTAATTTTGGTAACTGTTCCTGCTGAAGCCTAATATCATTTAATCTCCACTCAAGAAGCAAAGTAAGTTTTCAACATGGGCCTTTAGGGACACATCTCCCCGTAACCCACCTACAGTATCTTTTGAGATGAAACTTTAAGGAGGTCTTGTCATTATCTCAAAGCGCTAAAATAATTGCTCTTGAGGAAATTAATTACCTTTGTGCGAAACTGCTCTGTGTATAAAACGAGATTTGGTTAATGAAAGTGAATGTTCTGCCATTTTTCAGTGTTCTTCGTTGTTCAAATTAACAAAGTCAAGCAAATCTGAAACTCTCCATCCTGCTTGGAGCGCACCTTGATAGTGTTTTTGCAACTGCTTCCCCAAATTTTGGTAAAACAATCAAATATGTAAAAATATTTCAAAAAACATATCTCTTATTTTAAATTATACCAAATTCAGTCTAGCATAAGTTGCATTTTTTTTTCTTTTGTCTCAGTGGTAAATATCGATGTGAGTAGAGTGATCAATGGTGGCGACATTAACGCCAGTCTGGTGCACACTAGAGTTATATGGTCACTGGGTATCTGCTTGCTTTATTTTAGACACAAAACATGGATAAGTATTAGAATTTGTACATTTTTTTGTTTATTTTCAATGAAGAATAAGTTGCTCAGTAAATTTTACATTTGGGGAAAATAAACTGACTCTAAAACAGTGACTCGTATGCCTCCTAACATGCTGAGCGACTGCAGTGTGCCCCATCTCACTGCAGATTGATTCTATTATTTGTTGTGAACAGGGTCTGTCAGCCTCGGGCTTAGAAACAGAGAGGCAAAATCCCTCACTTTCAGCAACTATTGTGCCCAGAATCTGAAGGGAAATAAAGGTGAGATACAGCCAAGGTGCCCACCGGCTACAGGGACGACTGCCAGGCATAAACTAATTAGCAGGCTCTCTGAAATGAAGAACATTTGATGAGCTGAAGTTAGTAACGGCAAAGTGCAGAAGCAAGTTGATAGCTCATAAAATATGACTGATCTTTTTTTTTTTCTGGCAGAAAATGGGCCCCTGACATGAGTTGAGGTCAGGACACATTTTCAGCTGTAGCAAAGTTTATTAATATGTCCATCAAAATGCCAAAGTAAGTGTTGACACTTGCCTTTAGAGGCTGGATCTAAGAGGAGAGAGGCGGCCTCTCAGACTGAGGCTGACGAGTTTATGAGGATGTTTGTTTCCACAAGACATGTCATGTCTGCACAAAGGAGCCCTATACAAGATTTTTCATGTTCAAGGTCAACAGGTACACTCTTAGTGAACAAAGGTTTTTTCTGTGTAGATCCTTAAAGTTCTTGAATCGTTTTTACCTTCTCCTCATATTTAGACTCACCTTACAACAGTGGTTGATGGGGTTCGTAACCTCACTGTGGGTCATGAAACACTGAGGTGATCTCCTGAAATCAATTACAACTGAAAATTCTCAAATATTTAATCTACAATTTTTATTTAGTTGTATACATCTATCTGAAAAAGACAAACACTTTTTTTAAATATGTATAAAATCAGAAATGAACCTCTTTGACCTGCAAGCACTTAAAGCTACAATGGTAAATTTGGAAAACAAGTTAGTTAAATAATTGTTTTCCTTCCCCTTAACAACATTCTAACATAACTATAAAGATATTGTGGAGATGAAAAAAATGAATGAAGTGGTTCTCTCGCATTTGTCTAAAAACCTCCACCAATAGTTGGACCATCCGGTCGTTGGTCCCTCTGAATCGCTCAATAATCACAAAAGGAAAAACAGCCAGCTGCTCCCACTTTAACAAACTACCAGAGTCTCAAAAAGAAAAACACCATTTAAAGTCACAAAAAACAAAAGACCTTTGGAGCAACTGGTGTTTTAACGCTTTCTCGTTTCCACAGGCATCATGGGTTTCCGGCAGAAGCATCTCAGGGAAGATACCTGAGTGTTCAGTGATCGTGTTTGTGTTCAAAACCTAGCTTGTTCCGTAGAGTCACCAAAGCAGCTTTAATTATAAAGGAAAAAATAACATTATAATAATAAAAGTATTTTAAACCCAGTTGTTTGATATAAAATATAAACATTGCTATATTACATTATCGGTACCCTAGTAATAATATTAATACAATGCTAACTTGTGTTATAATAAAACATGTAGTGTCTTATTCTGGATGTGGACATTAAATGGTTACACTTTCACACTAATTAAGTTTAAAAACAAGCCGATTATTTTAGATATCAAAATAACATTTTTTTGAAGAGTTGTGACATTAAGCATCATTTCATAAAATATAAAATGCTGCTCCACTTTAAAACAATGAAAAAGCCTAATTTTAATTCAGCATATACCATCTTCTTGGTTTCTCTTTAGCAAAAAACTGAGCTATCAGTAAATTCATTTAGCTTTGTCTGCAAACACAAACTACTTTGAACGATGCATATTTATTTCTTCTCATGCAGTTCTCCTTTATTAAAGTTGTTTGTGTGCAGACCTTCTGCTCCTCTAAACGTGCATTGTTTAGGAATTGATAGTGATGATTCCACACCGTAGTGCCCTTAAAACCTTTTCTTTTATGCTACTTGAATTGATTTGTGTTCTTCTAGAAGAAACAATCTTTAATATAGCGTCACTCAAGACAACAATCACAAGGTGCTTCACAAAAGCAAAAGTAAATAAAAACTATCATCAAAATGAGAAGTAAAAAATATTGCGATTAAAAACGCGAGAATTATCCAAATACATACAATCTAATTAGGATATATGAATGCATCACACAGACATCACATGTGAGCAAATGTAACCAAAACTTTGTGTGGCCATGATGAGGTGTTTCAATCCTTGGCAAAAAAACTGGGAAATATTCCCCTCATTACCTAAGACACAGCATATGATTCACCATCTTGTAAGAAAGGAAAGAACAGCATGACTTCCCACAATGCCCTGCAGCATCAGCAATCAAAGCCGTGCTCTTGCATCTTCATGCAGCCATAGTCACTGGAATTTATCTAAGAATATGAAGAATTACAAGAAACTCAGATTGTTTGAGCATATCTGAGAACTTGGTGTTGTTTGTTGGGTAACTATTTCTTTATTGAGCTGAATGTACAAAAAGCATCTCTTTACTTGAGAACATGTCAAGTACCTGCTTTGTGTCGCACACATGACTTACATTTAAGGTTTTACCAGGACCATCAATTGAAATTTGACTGATCCTGAAAAGTACAGGTCTAAAAGAAAATAAGAAAATTTCTTCTGACAAAATCTGTGATGAAAAATGAAAACTGATTGAGCACCTTACAAAAACATATGTAGGATGAGGTATTGTGTGTTTAACATATTGAGGCCTTTAGCAGGTCATGTAATTAAATGCAGAAAATGAAGGAATCCAGCTGGTGACTGAGTGGGCAGTATAATCCTATGAACATTTTAATTAAAGAGCCATTTGAGTGCCTCTCAGTCAGTTGCCTAGCTGCAAGTAGCCCGCTTTCTCAACCCAAAGTTTACGCTATTTATCCATAATCACCAAACTCACAACAAAAAACCATTAGAACTATTTTGAAACCAATTTTTTCATCAACTTCAACTTTCATGACAAACTAAACAAATGACAAACATGGGCTTCTTTGCAAATTTGCTAGATTTCAAATGCATGAAATGCATTGTTATTTTTTATCTTTGTTTCAAAGGAGATCTTGATCGACCTTTTCAAAGGACTGAGCTGAATTTTGACTCCTGTTCACGGCGCGCGCCTGGCACAAACTTTGATGTGATGAAAGAATCCAAAAGGCCAAATCATGTTTAAGTGGCATTTTGATGGCATTTCTTTGGCCTGTTTAACCTTTGGTGAGTTTCATTTTTCTTCTGCATTACATCTTATCCATGCAGACCCACTCCTCATTCCCTTCAACACAAAACACTATTTTATGTCTCCTCACCAACACAGCCTTGGAGATAGATAAAGAAAACACACACACACACACACACACACACACACACACACACACACACACACACACACACACACACACACACACACACACACACACACACACATCTAAAAAACACCAAAATATTGAGATTTGCAGCTGCTACTTTGATGTATTGAGGAAAAGTTTTTTTTTCTTTAAAACAAAGTGAAAGCACAAAAAGTAAATATTTAACATTCTGCCTCTTTTTGTATAATTTAAAAGAATTCATGTGGGCAAATACAAGATTCTCATCAAATAAAGGCTTCTCAGTGAGTGCAGACTCCCTAATTTCACAAGAAATGTTTAAGCATGCAGACATAAATAGTGCTGCACTGCTTCAAAGGGACTCTGACGCTCTTTCACACTTACGGACATGCATGCACAATAAGAATGCCTCCTGAAATAATGAAGTTAGCACAAGGGCATCAGTTTGTTTTCAGAATTGCTGGGGACAATAACCATACACTGGAGTGGGGTTTAAAAATTGCTGGGGACAATAAAGTAGGCTAGCACAGGGGTTGGCACCCCGCGGCTCTGGAGCCGCGTGCGGCTCTTCCATCCATCTGATGCGGCTCTCTGTGCTTGTAAAATAATGAATGGATATTTAAATAAAATGCTTTATATTTTACTGCATAAATTTTACATCTGTATGCTAATTCTAAATGTAAAGATTGTCTGCGTAAACCTGAACAGTTCCGACCCAGTCTACTGTGAGACCGGGTTGACGCGTCACGCTTGTGCTCGCAGCATTTTAAAAAGAAACGTATGACAAAAGGGGCACCTGCTCAGTAAAACCACCAACAGGGTGAAAAATATCAAAATATTGTAAGCAGAGACGGGCTACAACTTCTGGATCCATTTTATATAAATCGTTTTATTGATTATCGTCTTATGAAAGATAACTTTGACGTACACGAGCGACCAGGCGCGTTGCAAACTTTTCAAAAGTGTGGGGGATATTGTCTGTGCCTAAAATAAGTTCATGTTATTCATCTTGTTAGTTTAATTTCCGTAATAGCGGAGCAGGTGCGAATTTTAGACGCGTCATGCATGTCTCCGTTTTAAACATGTTTAAACTGTTTAGAATACAAATCCAGGCTCTTTCTCGTTAGATTGGTGTAACTAAAGTTTGTACTAAATGAAACTTTACATTAAACCATGTTGAAAAGAAAAGGATCAGATTAAATCGTTTCCCCCTCATTAACAGTCACGGAGTACAGCGCAGTGCGCGTGGCTCTGGGGTTAATCAGGTTTAATTGTTTCTCTTTCCAAGAATCTTCACAAGAAGGCAAAACAGTTAAATGGCAGGTTACATATATTTACATTTGACTGTTTATTTTGACGGATAAACTCAAGGATGTTGGTTGTTTTGAAAGAATTACCCCGACGCACACTGATGCGCATGGATGAGCTGACATTTTAGTACGCACATCGCAGAGGTCACTTGATTCCCATCAGAACATCAGAGCTTTATACTGGACACTGTGTTCAGCGCGGCTCGGAGCGCCCACGGTGGACAGTGGGCTGAAGATCTGTAGAGGGATTCGCAGCGCAGTGCAGAACCACGGTGCATGCGATAAGATTTCCTCCCACTCAATCGGTCTGGAAACCCGGTCTCTCTGAGGGATGTGTCACCTGGAAAAATGTTCTTTTCATGAAATTATGAAACTTTGACTGAATAGCGCTTGTTCCCGTCTCTAATATGGAGACGCATGACACATCCAGTCTGAGGCAGAATAGCCTCTTCAGCTCAGAAAGCACCTGTAGAGACATTTGATCACGCACAAAGTTTATGTGGAGCAGAAGCGGTCGGGCCACGGTAGGTGAAACGTTCCTAGCCTACATGAAGTGAAACTGTTTAATTGTAACATTAATATGTTACTGGACATGCTGGTCTGGTTGGTTAGACCAGTGTTTGAAGTGGAAAACACACACACACACACACACACACACACACACACACACACACACACACACACACACACACACACACACACACACACACACACACACACACCAATTAAAATAATGCTGATAGCGTGGACTAGAGGACAGGTGATGGTTTACGTATTTAAATGATGATCAGGCTGCTGTAAAATGTAATCTCCATCCACATCCAGACACAATTATCCTCTATTCTTTCTCTATTTGCTCTGCTCTTGTCTGGGATGACGTAGCTAATGGTGCGCGCGGCGCGCCTAACTAGCGGCTGTGATGCACATTTTACGCATTTGGAGAGGTGGGCTGGAAGCTTTGCTTTTACTGGAAGATGGTCCACTTAACGCACGGGTGTAGACTACATGTTAATGACAAATGAATGAAAATTAAATTGGGAGTTTTTACTTCATATTTTATAAATAAAATTGGCTGGGGAACACATTTATGACGTCTTTTTAAACGAAATTTTCTGGCGCGACCTGCCTGCTTCACTTAAGTCACTGCTTATTAAGGTCCTTCCAAAATTACCGTGGCCCACCCAAAAATGAAAACCTGGCGCCGCGCCAGTTATAAACCTCTGAAAATGGTTGTTCTTCACTTTATCAAACTCAGACTTTGTACAGCTAATGTCAAGATGTAAAATTATGAATTCAGTTGAGCTCTTCCGTCCCTCCCTCTCCTGCTCTCCTGGAAACCCGACATCGGCTGTCAGAAGCGGGAGGGGGAGAAGGAGATGAGGCAAACAGAGTGAGTGCGACCTAAAGAAACCAGACTGGTGTGGAGGTTAGCAAACAGCTGGAAAAGTGTGGGTGTTGAATCCCCCCATGAGACCTGAGCTGGTAAAACAAAAATCCTCATCAGCAGGCTTTTTTGAAAGTGGGGGGGGACACAGCTGCCCATCACAAATTTTGCCGGGGACATGTCCCCGGCGTCCCCGGTTAAAATGACGCCTATGAGTTAGCATACACTGGCAAATTTTTAGCTAATCTTTCTGCATCTATTCATAAATAAAGCGCTAACAAGATATTTTCATAAAGCAAATGTGGAGCAGCTCTGATGGCTGCATTTACACTGACAGTGATCACTAATTAGAAGACCTTTTTTCCACACACTTTGATTTTGTCATCCTAACTTGTTTTTGCAAAGAGGTGTGTGATAAAAATATGTACTTACGTCCACAGTTGTGCAATAATTCAGCAAGCTTCTAGTTCTGTTTTAATGCAGAACATTAAAATATTGTGACCCACAAATGCAAATCTATGTTTTCACATCTTCCATTCAGCTGACAGAATCGTTAGTCATAATGATTTCATGTGTTCCTTTTGACTTTAATAAGTCATTATGATCTAATTTCAGACAAAAACTGTCTTTAAGCAAAAAAAAAAAAAGAAAAAAAAGAAAAGAAAAAATAATAATGGTATAAGACCTCTCAACCCTCATCGCCCCTTTGTACTAGTGAACTGCTACATTACCACTCAGAGGATCCAAATAAAACATGACATGTTTTAGTTTTCCATGATTGTTTGCCTCGGTGATTGTCTGCATGCTTCGCCAGACTCTACAAGATACAGAATCTCAAGCAAAAAGGACAAAACAGTCATAGCAGATATTTGGCTTCTTCCTGTAGTTGCTGAGGTTTAAAGAGTTTAAGGAATTTAAAACAAACAAACAAACTAACAAAAAACAACAGAAGACATATTTAGACCTTATGTTATCGTGGCTTATAATGCGCACGGTTCCTCAGCACAAAGTCGGACTACAAATTTAATGAGACAAAGTGTTCACATTTGGGTTGTGAAATTAATAATTTAAGGTAGAAACATGAATCCAAGAGAAATGCTGGATATATGTTTAATAAGATGTGTCTTAAGCCTGAGTTATACTTCAGAATCAGAAGGGTTTGATCCTCATATGTGAAAACTATAGGAAATTTATGCAGTACTTGGTGTGAAAGAAAGAAAAACAAGAGGTAATCAAATATAATAAAATAAGAATATAATCATGATAAAATAATAATATAATGTAGCAATAATTAGAGAAGCGGGGAGAAAATTTTTTTGATTAGATGCAGGAAGGTGTGACCTAGACTAAAACTGCTTAGGAATGAGATTTAAAGCTGCATTATACAGGGCTGCCAACTCTCACGCACTGAACGTGAGACACATGCATTTGACCCTCTTCACACGCTCTCACACCAAACCTCCAATATCTCACGCTAAGCCAGCACCTGCACTCCCCAAACACGCATCACGCACAGTGTGTAGGGTCTATGAAAAACAACAACAACAAAAAAAACAGATGATATTAATTATAGCATTAGCTACTGAACAACATGCACACACACAACACTTAAGTAATAATTTGAATGGCATTATTTCAAACACAGAATCTCATCTGAATAATCCAAGCCATTGTGCTTTTTTGCACTCTGGTTGGGAGATGGGCAGAGCGGTGAGCTCCACCTGCTGTTGATGGGACGGGCATGACCGCTTCTCAGTGGCGGCGCCACGGGGGTGCTATAGCTACCCCTGGATTAGTCATTGCACCCCCATAGCACCCCCAAGTAAATATTAGATTTTATTTTATTTTTTACAATTTTATTTTAACTCATTCACTGCCATTGACGACTAAAGTCGTCATTTGTATTTTTTTACTGTTTGAGCATCGGAACGAGCCCCCGCACTGAGAGAACAAACATCTAAGCCCTGAAGCCGATCTTCATCCGCATACGTCACAGATCACATGATCAGAAAGCAACACATCCATGTGTTTGGAGATCGTTTTGGGCCGTTCCTGTAAAAAAAAAGTGAGGCGTGAACCGGAAAAGCGTCTGCCGATCACAATTCGACAACTGATTATGAAAGAACGCATAACGCTCGAAACACGCGGCTTCTTCCTGATGTAAGAGGTGAGTCTCCTCTTTGTTTTGGTTGTTTTGGCATCGACATCATGCTAGCGTGCAACGTTCTGTGACTCTTAAAAACACAGTAAAAACGGTGAGAAACGCTGGCAGCGAAGGCCGCTAGTGATCAGGAAATGGCTGGCAGTGAATGAGTTGATTTAACGTGTGGATGAAGGGTGAGACAAAGAACGGTTCACAGGATCTTTCATGGAAGTAAATTCAAAGAGTCGGAGCACCTGGCCCGGAGGGTTACCGGGGTCCCACCCTGGAGGCAGGCCTGGGGTTGGGGCCCGTGAGCGAGCGTCTGGTGGCCGGGCTTTCGCCCATGGGGCCCGGCCGGGCCCAGCCCGAACCGGATACATGGGCTCATCCAACTGTGGACCCACCACCCGCAGGAGGAACATGAAGGGTCCGGTGCAATGTGGATCGGTTGGCAGACCAAGGCGGGAGCCTTGGCGGTCCGATCCCCGGACAAGAAAACTGGTTTTTGGGACATGGAACGCCACCTCGTTGGCGGGGAAGGAGCAGGAGCTTGTGGCAGAGGTTGAGCGGTACCGGCTAGATATAGTCGGACTCACCTCGACACATAGCATTGGCTCTGGAACCCAAGTCCTTGAGAGGGGTTGGACACTCTCCTTTGCTGGAGTTGCTCCGGGTGAGAGGCGGAGGGCTGGGGTTGGCTTTTTGTTAGCCCAAAGACTCTCTGCCTGTGTGTTGGGGTTTATCCCGGGGGACGAGAGGGTAGCTTCCCTGCGCCTTTGGGTCAGGGAACGGGTCCTGACTGTTGTTTGTGCTTATGGGCCAAATATCAGTTCAGAGTACCCACCCTTTTTGGAGTCCCTGGTACGAGTGCTAGATAGTGCTCCATCAGGGGACTCCATTGTCCTGCTGGGGGACTTCAATGCTCACGTGGGCAATGACAGCTTGACCTGGAGGGGTGTGATTGGGAGGAACGGCCCGCCTGATCAGAAGCTGTTGAGGTAGTCAAAAAACTACACAGCGGTGGAGCCCCGGGGGCAGATGAGGTTCGTCCTGGTATCTCAAGGCTATGGATGTTGTAGGGCTGCCATGGTTGACACGTCTCTGCAACATTGTGTGGTGATCGGGGGCAGTTCCTGTGGAGTGGCAGACCGGGGTGGTGGTCCCCATCTTTAAGAAGGGTGACCTGAGGGTGTGTTCCAACTATAGGGGGATCACACTCCTCAGCCTCCCTGGAAAGGTCTACTCCAAGGTACTGGAGAGGAGGGTCCGATTGATAGTTGAATCTCAGATTGAGGAGGAGCAATGTGGTTTTCGTCCTGGCCGTGGAACTGTGGACCAGCTCTATACCCTTGCAAGGGTGATGGAGGGGGTATGGGTTTGCCCAACCAATCCACATGTGCTTTGTGGATTTGGAGAAGGGTTATGTCCGTGTCTCCAGGGGCACCCTGTGGGGGACGCTCCAGTAGTATGGGGTGGGTGGCTTTCTGTTAAGGGCCATTCAGTCCCTTTACCAGAGGAGCGGGAGTTTGGTCCGCATAGCCGGTAGTAAATCGGACCTGTTCCCAGTGAGGGTTCGACTCCGCCAGGGCTGCCCTTTGTCACCGGTTCTGTTCATTACCTTATCGGACATAATTTCTAGGTGCAGCCGTGGTGTGGAGTGTGTCGAATTTGGTGGCAGGAGAATCTCGTCTCTGCTTTTTGCGGATGATGTGGTCCTCCTAGCTTCATCCAGCTCTGACCTTCAGCTCTTGCTGGGTAAGTTCACGGCCGAGTTTGAAGCGGCTGGGATGAGGATCAGCACCTCCAAATCTGAGACCATGGTTCTCGACCGGAAAAGGGTGGCTTACCAACTCCGGGTCGGGGGAGAGGTCCTACCTCAAGTGGAGGAGTTTAAGTATCTCGGGGTCTTGTTCACGAGTGAGGGTAGGAGGGATCGGGACAGGCGGATTGGTTCAGCATCTGCAGTGATGCAGACGCTGAGCCGATCTGTCGTGGTGAAGAGGGAGCTGAGCTAGAAAGCCAGGCTCTCGATTTACCGGTCGATCTACTTCCCAATCCTCACCTATGGTCATGAGCTTTGGGTAATGACCGAAAGAATGAGATTGCGGATACAAGCGGCCGAATTGAGTTTCCTCCGTAGGGTGGCCGGGCTCAGCCTTAGAGATAGGGTGAGGAGCTCGGACATTCGGGAGGGACTCGGAGTAGAACTGCTGCTCCTTTGGATCGAAAGGAGCCAGTTGAGGTGGTTTGGGCATCTGGTCAGGATGCCTCCTGGACGCCTCCCCGGGGAGGTGTTTCGGGTATGTCCTGCCGGCAGGAGGCCCCCGGGTCGAGCCAGGACACGTTGGAGAGGTTACATCTCCAATCTGTTCCGGGAACGCCTTGGGGTCCTGCCGGAGGAGCTGGTGGAGAAGGCCGGGGAGAGGACGATCTGGAGTTGGGATGCTGCCTCTGCGACCCGGGCCCGGATAAGCGGAGGAAGACGATGACGTGTGGATGTGATAATATTTAACATACAAAACAAAAATAATCCGTGAATTATCATATAGATAGTAAAAACTTAAACCAAAACAGGAAATTGATGCTAACCTTTGACCTCTTTTTCCACCTGCAAACGAGTGAAAGGTAGAGCTAGTAGTAAAATGGATCGGTTTTTGTTGCCCAAATTTCCACAGGTTCAGTCAGAAACGAATGAATCTTTGGAAGTGATCTCAGACCCACAAAAATCTATGGATCTGGATGAGGAGAGTCAATCCTTAACCGCCACAGCAGAGGGTTTTGCCGCTGGAAATACTTACACTAACGTTAGCTAACCTTGTCTCACTATAGATGGTTTTCTGTGTGGCTGTATGCGTTTATGATTTCATAGAAAAGTCAGTGATTGTTCATATGTTTATGATGTATATTAATGATTGTTTCAGGTGTTGTTGAGGTTTTGTGCACGCATGTGTATCTGCTAGTGTTGAAGGTGTTTTAGAGAACAATAGGTACGCATGACCACTTCCTTCATAGCACCCTCAATAAAAAGATTAGCTCCTTCATAGCACCTGCAGAAAAAAAAATTCTGGAGCTGCCACTGCCGCTTCTTTCTCCCAGAACCGTGAGCTGCGGCTGCGCGCACCGCCAAAATGACATGCTTTTTTCCGAAATGCAGCTGCGTCGTCAGCCGGTGTTGACGGAGCTTCAGTCCCAAATGTTTTTTTTTTTTTTGTTCTTGATTTGTGGCAGTTATGTGGTCACCGCTAATGTTCATGTTTGGAAAATGCGCTACAAATAGAGTAACTTCCGGGTCACAAGATAAACAGTGCAGTTAGCAAATCATTGATGTTTCCTGTTGCTGACTTGTACCTACCCTTTCCGGTTTCTTAATTTCTTTGTGTTTTTCTTAATTTCTTTGTCCATCCATCCATCCATTTTCATCCGCTTATCCGGAGTCAGGTCACGGGGGCAGTAGCCTAAGGTGAGAGGCCAGACTTCCGTCTCCCCAGCCACTTGGGCCAGCTCCTCCGGAGGAATCCCAAGGCATTCCCTCGCCAGGTGAGAGACATTGTCCCTCCACCGTGTCCTGGGTCTACTTTTAGCTCTCCTCCCGGTTGGACGTGCCCTGAAAACCTCACCAGGGCGGCATCCATGAGGCATCCTGACCAGATGTCGAGCCACCTCAACTGGCTCCTCTCAATGTGGAGGAACAGCGGGTCTACTCCGAGCCCCTCCCGTATGACCGAGCTTCTCACCCTATCTCTAAGGGAGATCCCAGCCACTCTTCGGAGAAAACTCATGTCGGCCGCTTGTGTCCGCAATCTCGTTCTATCAGTCACTACCCAAAGCTCATGACCATGGGTGAGGGTAGGAATGTAGATCGACCGGTAAACCGAGAGCTTCGCCTTCTGACTAAGCTCTCTCTTCACCACGACAGACTGGTACCACGACCACATCACTGCAGATGCAACACCAATCGGCCTATCGATCTCACGCTCCAGTTTTCCCTCACTCGTGAACAAGACCCAGAGATACTTAAACTCCTCCACTTGGGGCAGGACCTCATCCCTGACCCGGAGAAGGCATTCTACCCTTTTCCGAATCAAGACCATGGTCTTAGATTTAGAGGAGCTGATTCTCATCCCAGCTGCTTCACACTTGGTTGTGAACCGCTACAGCGAAAGCTGAAGATCACGTTCTGATGAAGCTAACAGCACCACATCATCTGCAAAAAGCAGAGACCTGATCCTCAGGCCACCAAAACGGATGCCTTCCACACCTTGGCTATGCCTAGAAATCCTTTCCATAAAGGTTATGAACAGAATCGGTGACAAAGGGCAGCCTTGGCGGAGTCCAACTCTCACTGGGAACGAGCCCGACTTACTGCCGGCAATGTGGACCAAGCTCTGACACCGGTCATACAGGGACCTAACAGCCCGTATCAGAGGGCCTGGTACCCCATACTCCTGGAGTACCCCCACAGGACCCCCGAGGGACGCGGTCAAACACCTTCTCCAAATACACAAAGCACTTGTAGACTGGTTGGGCAAATTCCCATGCACCCTCCAGGATCCCCCTAAGGGTATAGAGCTGGTCCAGTGTTCCACGGCCAGGACAAAAACCACATTGCTCCTCCTGAATCTGAGGTTCAACAATCCAATGGACTCTCCTCTCCAGAACCCCTGAATAGACCTTACCAGGAAGGCTCAGAATCAGAATAAGCTTTATTGCCAGCTCTCCAGCGACCCAGAGCATAGGAACTTGACTCCGCATACACAACCTGACCAAGGTTAAACACACACACACATGTTGACAAAAACAGGTACAGGCAGTCCACGAGAGCAGCCAGAACGGCGCTCATTTCATTAGATGAAAAGGGTGTTACATGAGGATAATTGGGGTAAGGTAAAAAAAAAAAGGCATAGCAGAGTTAGTCCCAGCAGGGAGTAGCTCTACTATACAAAAAACTCCTCAACATTGAAGCACGCACATCACAGTTACAAAACATCAGACTCCGATAGGGAGGCAGGGGTGGGGTGGGGGTGGGGGTCCTCCAACGGGAGCTGCCAGTGTACGGCGCTCACAGCTGCAGTCAAACAGGTGGGAGGGAGAGATGAGGGCCAGAGAGCACATTGAATTTCTTGCAGGTTGATGGCCTCGAAGAAGAAGTCACAATCTGAACGCGGGGGGGGGGGGGGGGGGGTCGGGGTCGGGTCACAGCATCTGTCAGCATTCCTCCTTTCGTGGGGGTGTATTGATGGCAGCTGTGGAGGCTGCCTTGGCGTCAGATAAGGATAAACAAGACTTTGTTTAGGGCAGACAGAGATAATTTTTTTCTCTCTGCCTTGGAGTCTATTAAGTGATCATTCATGTCCACCAGTGAAGCCAATTATGCGTTCTAAACATCCCCACACCATCCGGCGACCCTCTCCGAGATGACATCTATCTTGCGCACTAACACAGGCAACGCCGCGAGGACATTGTCCAGCTTACGGTTCACCTCGAGTAACGTCCCAGTCTGTGAGGTCACCGCATGGCCGGCACATTCCGTGGGTACGGGTCGCACTCCAATCGCTCCCGTCTTCCCAAATTTCCAGAAAACCAGATATCCTCCCACTCCAATCAGAAGAAATCCAGTGATCATCAGGCCGAATATCCACAAATCTTCCACATCCTCGATGGACAACTGAGAGAGGCACACAATTCACCAGACCTCCCAAGAATCGAGTGCATATCCCGCTGCGAATGTCCCTTGAGGACAGGTGGGAGCCCCCTTCTCCGTTCTCATCGTAGAAAAAATCTTATCAATCGCGTTGAATGACCAGTTAATTAAGTCCATTTTCCAAAAAAGAAGTAGTGATTTCAGGAGAAATGCAGAGCAATGCTCTGTAGGCAGACAGGACAGAGAGCCTTGGGAAAGCAGATAAGGGAGCTGAAGAAAAAGCGTCTGAACTCTCTGAGAGCCGGAAGAAGAAAATTCCTCCAGGATCCCCCTAAGCCAGGGATTCCCAAAGTGTGGTGCGCGAGCTGCCGCTACGGGGTGCGCAAGGTGAAAAGTATAATAGCTGCGGAGCTCAGAGAAGTCTGTCAAAAGTCACCATTAGCGTAGCCAGAAACTCATTTGTGGGTGGGCCTAAGAAAATGTAAGTGGGCCCAATAAATGTAAATGAAAACAAGTATATTTTGCTTGTGTGTGTGTGTGTGTCTTCCGCACATGCCCTAGCTCAGGGGTCGGCAATCCGCGGCTCTGGAGCCGCTTGTGGCTCTTCCACCAATCTGATGTGGCTCTCTGTGCTTGTAAAATAATGAATGGATATTTAAATAAAATGCTTTATATTTTACTGCGTAAATTTTACATCTGTAAGCTAATTCTAAATGTAAAGATTGTCTGCGTAAACCTGAACAGGTCCAACCCAGTCTACTGTGTGACCGGGTTGACGCGTCACGCTTGTGCGTAATCATAAGCGCTTTCTGAGCTGAAGACGATGTGAGATTCTGAGACTCTCCTCAGACAGGAACAAGCACAATTCAGCCAAAGTTTCATCATCAGGGAACATTTTCTAAGTGACAAGTCTCTCTGAGAGACAGGGTTTGGAAAACTCTTGCTTCAGTGGATGGAATCTTCCCGCATGCGCTCTGGTTCTGCAATGTGCTCCAAGCCCCTCTGTACATCTTCAGCTCACTGTGTACCTTATGTACGCTCTGACAGTGAGCTGTGCTGAGCAGTGTCCAGCTCAGATGTTCAGAAGGAAATCTTTTCTTGAGTGATTTAGCTACATCTGCGATTTGCGAAACGAATAGTGTCAGTTCGTCTGCATGTGTCGGGGTAATTCTTTCTATTCTTTCTCCGTCAAAATAAACCGCCAAATACGGGAACTGTCCAGTCAACACAAGCCCTGCTTTTAACTCATTCACTGCCATTGACGACTAAAGTCGTCATTTTAAATACAACCGTTCACTGCCAATGACGATTTTAGTTGTCAATTACGTTTTTTAATGGGAGGTGGTAGGGAACAAGCTCACACACCCTGACAGTAAACACCAATCATCTAAAAATGATCTTCATCTGTGTGTGCGTCAGTAACGTGTCACGTGATCAGGAAGAAGCCGATCCATGAAATGGGAGCTGGTTTTGGGAAGCCACTATGCCTAAGGTGAGACGCAAAGCGGACAATCTTATGCAGCTCACACTTCAACAAAGTCTGTTTCGCGGTAGCAAAACTTTGCATCGTGTTCCTATCGAAAGAAAAGATGACAACCAACCCGGGCCAAGCGGAGACGAAAGGCATACGGCGCAACATGTTTCATCTGAGCTACAGACAGCGATTTCAGCAGACAGTTCCGACTCGGATCATTTTAGCGAACCTGACCCAGATTCTTCAGATGAATGGTTGCCGTCTGGACCAACCAGGAGCAGCAGAGATTCTTCACCAGACGATAAAAGAAAAAATGAAGAAGGTAACGTAACAGCTAGCTAACAGCTAACGGCTGTGTTATTTGTTTGTTGTGATCGCGTCATTCTTTTCTCCCCGCTTTCCCGTCTCCCCTACTTTCATGAATGTCACAGTCTCCCCAACACTTGTTTCCAGCTTCTTTCTTTACAGATTTATAATGGAAATGGTTTGATTTTTGATTATTATTTAAAGATATTTTCAATTTACAGATGATGCACCCAGAAAAGCTCCCCCTGCCACAACTAGTACTGCAAAGAAAAGAGGTTGGAGAGGCAAACAAACAAATAAATAAATATAAAAACAAACAAATAAATAAATTGTGTGTGTGTGTGTGTGTGTGTGTGTGTGTGTGTGTGTGTGTGTGTGTGTGTGTGTGTGTGTGTGTGTGTGTGTGTGTGTGTGTGTGTGTGATTATGATTACAGGTTGTGCATCAAGCAGGAGTCGAGGGCAGGATTTGGACTGGGATGAGGCCGGCTGGCAACTCAACAAGATGCTCTTTACTGCAACCGCTGGACCCAAAGATGTTGCTGCAGACATAGACTGTGATGTGCCAGCTAAGTTCCTGGAGCTCTTCCTGACTGATGAGCTGCTTGATCATGTTGTGCATCAAACCAATCTGTATGCAAGTCAGTATTTTCAAGCACACTCTGACCTACCACAACATAGCAGAGGTAATGCTTGGAAGCCAGTGTCAGTCTCAGAACTGAAAACTTTCTTTGGACTAACTTTCCTGACCGGCTATGTCAAAAAACCAAGCACTGAAATGTACTGGAGTGTGGATGAGTTGGATGCCACACCTTATTTCAGCACAACCATGTCAAGGAACAGGTTTCAGATTATATGGAAGTTTCTGCATTACAATGACAATGCAAATCTGGATGTGAATGACAAAATGTACAAAGTCCGCCCAGTGTTAGATTACATTGTGGAAAAATTCAAGCAGATGTATCAGCCAGACAAAAACATTTGCATTGATGAGGGTATGATGCTGTGGCGAGGGCGCTTATCTTTCAGGGTGTACAACCCACAAAAGCCTGTGAAATATGGAATCAAGTC